AGCTGAGTAGGAGCATAACATGCAAACGTGCATATATATTGCTGTCTCGACTAACAGGATGTGCTCATATGTGAAAAAGGTGAGGTGCTGAATCATAGTTTGTCCTAAATTAGAAAATGCTTTGCACACATACATATTTATCCACAATTTGTTTGAAAAGTAAATGGCTTACTGACAATCTTTCAAATTTCTTTTACCAGCTACAGCTGAAATGTGGGTCGTTAAATTAAAAGTTATTGCATTTATGGAGAGTAAATTTCTGAGTTTATTTTAAGTTTCAAAATATAAAAAAAAATTTAATTCAAAGGAAGAAAGAGGCTTAGATAAAAAATATAGTAAAACTTTAAACATAAAGAATTGTGTCTTTTAAAGATGCTCAAAGAAAGAAATTCTGCGAAAATGAAATGCAGCTAAACGAAAAGCTCAATAAACTTCAGTCACTAAAGACCGATTTATATGTTAAATTAATAAATCACGAAGAAATGAGTGAAAACTTGAAGCTTTCATACTTGAGTACGCTTTTGACATACTAACCTAAGTGACGCGTTGACACTCTTGAACACTTTGATGTCAGTTTGTTGCATGTTACACCTTGCTTAGTGCTGGAAATCACATGCAACATATGTATTTGTCAAACTGAGTTGTTGCAGCACTCCAGTTAGTAGGAAGTTTGTTTATGCTGCAGGTGTAAGCATATAAAATCATAAAAATTAATGTAGTTAAAGAAAGAGATAAAAATTAAAACAGAAATAAAACGAGGGGTTGAAGCGTTTGCTTTATTATTAACGACAACTGTTGAGCAAAGCAAAAGAATTGCAGTGACTAAAGTGACATTTTAAATTAGACCAAACAATAAAGACAGTACAAACTAAGGTATATCCCCGAAATCCCTAAAGGAGCTTACAAGTATGTACGTATGTTGTATACAATACACTTTACGTTTTAGTCGCCTTCTCTTGCGGCGTATTTCGATTTTTACTATAAAGATAATTTGGAAATTTCTAATGGTATCACACAACACTGCAACGCTTGCAAAGTATTGAATTTTTTTATCAAAACGCGTGCTCTGTTATAAAAAGTTCATCTCGCACTTCGGAGCTCATTTATGACTTAATGGGTGCGTAAATAAGCAGAATTGTCGACTTTGAAGTGAAGATCATCCAGAAGTATTTCAAGAGCTACCAATACATTCAGAAAAAGTCACAGTTTGGTGCGGTTTATGGGCTGGTGGCATCATTGGAGCGTACTTCTTCTAAGATACTGCAAGTCGTAAAAAACACTCAACCGTGTGATGATATCAAACTTTTTTTGCCTAAAATGAAAGAGCCTGACTTGAATGACATGTCAACAATGTCAACAAGATAGTGCCACAAACCACACAGCACGCGTAACAACGCAGTCACGGTCAACATTTGCATGAAATATGCTTCGAAAATTAAATTATATGAACCATACTATCGGTCTAAATAAAGATTTCATGCATTCTTCTGAAATTTTTGAAAAACTTTCCTATAGCTCTTAAAAAATCATCAGAGAGCATCTGATTATTTTTGAGTATTTTTCATAACCAACATAATTAAGAATCTCTTATTTTTGTTTATATTGAACTTATTTATTTCTGATTTTATTTTCCGCTTATAATAAAAAAAAAATTAAAAAAATATAAAAAATCATGCATATTTTGTGCTAGAGAGTTATGTTTTTGAAATTCTAAAAAAAGTTTTGTTAACTATATGAGATAATTAAATATTTAAATATCGGACTTTCTGATATATATATACTTTTTTAAATTAAACCTAGTATCAAACTAAGTATCAAACATATTTTTTTTTTGCCTTTTGAATATATATATTTATCTTCATTCCGGACATCATATTAACTCTTTGGCATGTATTCCATACCGAATAACTGCGTTTTCCAGAATTTCACACACTCCAATACATCGCTTAATCGCCAGCGAACTGTGTCACCTGTGCGCGTGTCTCAATTTCTTTCATTTAATACAATTTTTTTCAGCAAACAACTGGTTCTGGAATTTCAAGCTTTGAGGCTTGAAATTCTCATTCCTATAAACTGTGACCTAGCTCACTTTATATGCCATCGACATTTTTTATCTTCATTTTTACCTTTCAGTTCATCTTTGTTTTCTTTAATATGCTACCAGTTGCAGTTAAACCTACAAATATATACATATATGTTGGTATAAATGTATATACCTATACACATATATAGACTTCCATTTTGCTCCCTTTTGTTTCACTATTTGCTCTACGATCCATTGGGCTTTTGCTTATTAGACCAGGTGAAGACGACAAAAGCAACAGCAGCGAGACTGCTTTCCACTTATCACTTGTCGCCCATTCAACGTTTTCATTCATGTTTCTATAGCTTTGTATACTGTTCATATGTATATATATATATTCGCTGTTTTACTACCGTATCAGCTCCAGCACACAAGCATACACATATACGAGTACGTATGTAGTTGACCCATGTTCTTTTGACTAAAGTAGCTGTGAAAATAATTAAGCGAAATTTCACTTTCACTTTTCAACTTCATTTGCTCCATCAAACTGTCTAAGTGAAAGCGGCACATACTCTCATATACTTATATATGCATATATGTATATATAAATAACTTATACATGTAAATGAAGATATGAACATGCACACACTAACTCGGGACTGCAAAAAACAACTATATCACCAACATATATAAAATGTCTCTAAGCACTTGCTCCTGTCGCTCCTTGTTTGTGAACTGTCACTGCTTCTTGGTTTTGTTGTTTGTTGTTTTTGCCGTTTCTACCGTTTTTACTGTTTATCTTTATGCTTTTTAGTGGGTCACGTCATCGCAATTAAACTTGTATATACACACATACACAGTTGAGTGGACTGGATGTTGGCGTTTCTCTTTAATTCTTTTCATTTCCTGCTAAGCCTATTTTTAGGCACGCAAACAATTTGCTTGAGGATTTTCAATTGCTGCTGAGTAGTTAGTAGTTTGTTTTTTTTTTCTTGTGCAACAGTCGGTAAGAGTCGTGAGTGAAGGTGCGATTTAATTAAAATATAAAAAGTTGTTCACTTTTTATTTAGGGAAAATATTTCAGTTCTTCTTTGGGTATGAGTATATCATTTTGAGGATTTAGTATACTTTACATAACATAATTTAAATAACTGTTTTTGAAATTATGTTCCAAATTTAGGAATACCAGTCTTTTTCCTACACTAAATGCATTCAAAAGAGTAAGTCACTTATAACAGTCAATTACAGAGTTTTAAATGTTTTGTCCTTATATTTAAAATATTGCTTTAGATCAGGTTTACCATAGCTCAGTACGGCTCCGCAAATGCTTAATTAAATGAGTTTTTTGTCTCACACAACGTTAAAATTACCAAAGGAAAACGAGAAACGTTGAAAAAATAGCCACTCGTAAAAAGTAAGACAGTTGGAATTGAGTTAGAACATATCAGGAAACTACTGTAAAGACGTCTGAATGAAAAGTAAGTAAATAGTCGACCAAAACAAATGCGAAGGTTTGGAGTTTGTTTTATTAATTTTTTCCAGGTTATCTCATGACAATATTCAATAAACAAAAATATTTGTTTTATATTAAAATATTCGTTAAATTTGTATTATTACTAGTCTGGACATCAAAAAATTAGAAGGAGTATTCTACAATTTATCTTTTAATGAAGTTATTAACAAAAATATTTTTTAATAGCTTAATAATATTTTTGTACCTTGAGTCAAAAGGAACAGTACGTTTAAAACGTTTCCGAAAATGATTTCGTTGAAATTTCGAGCCCCGAGCGGTAAATAATTTATATATTTCAAATATTTAAACGAATTTATCCAAAAAAATGCTTTGTAAATAGTCATGAAGTATACCTAATGTAGTATTAATGGGGTATTTGAATACTATAGACTTTCAATAATATTTTGTTAAACAATTCTTACAAATAATTAGATGCCCGAATATTTTTTGGCCAAGAGTCTTTTTTTTTTTGAAATGCTTACCAATTTCACAAAATATAATATGTTTTAAATCCACTAAATGATTATCTAGGTATTCTCATATAATATATATGTATATAATTGGCGCTTTGTAACCGCTGTAGCGATTTTCGGCCGAGCTAATCCTATAATTTATGGTTTTGCGTCTTGATGTTTTTCCAACAAATGGAAGGACCTACAGCTTATACCAAGCCTTTTCCAAATGGTTGATGGCCTTTTATTCTGATAAAGATAAAGAAAAAATTTTATTTTTTTTTGCCGGGTTCAATTTTTGGAGCTGGCGACTTTCCAGACCATTATAATTGTATTCCTCTCCTTCCATTAAGAAAAAGTTTGTAATGACAGATGTTTTTGGTGCTTATAGCGGTGATACCTCTAACTATTCCCTACATACTTTCATTATAAATTTGTATGCTGTGCTCTATCAGCTCTGTGTTGTTAACTAATCGACATCGTGTGGTATTCAACGAGAGTAAATCTTTTTCCAGTAAAATTATCATGCCATTTTTAATATATTCCCATGACAGGCTACATGGTGACCTGAAATATCATTGCAACATTAACGAAAATCGTCTTGGCTTGTTCTACAACCTCCGTTGCATTCACCATGCCATCGATATTCAGTGCTCCATGATGGAGCTAGTCCACGTCGAATGGTGTGAAAAATAATCGTGCGAAAATTTTAGCGATTTAAATTTACTTTGTTGGGCCGAAATGAATATATTAAGTTACTGTGAACAACGCATACGCATGTAGCGCTCGTATGTCAAAACGTTCTGAGTATGTATATATAACATCATAAATTTCAAACTTTAAGAAAATGGTGTCAGTTGCCATATTGTAATGCGAAATCTAAAGGCAACCCTCGTATAATTTGAAAAATTTATCTAATAATAGGAGTAATGAAATTTTCAACGTTATGCAAAGTTTTCATAAAAATAATTTTTGTATATAGAAATTTATAACTATTTTATTAACTTACCACATCAATTATTTGCATTAAAGTTAAACCAAAGCTTAATTGTAACGGGTCCGATTCGTTTAAAACCGGGCGCTCTAGTGTATTATAAGGATCTAAAAGATCATGTAGCAGTCTCTTTTCATGATATCCTGCTAGACCAACTGTAATGAAAGAAAGATTTTGCAATTAATTATTATTTAAATTTATATATAAAATAAATTTGATGAAAAGAGAATTATGGAACTCTAGTCCAGTTAGTAGTAATATAAAGTTCAGCGATTTTGCATTTTCATTTTATTAAAAACTATAAACAGAATTTCACAATTAATTTTTTTGTAATTTTGCAAAATTTGAATTAAATTAGGAAACTTATTTTATAAAAGGTAAATATTCTATAAATGAATAAATAAAATTTTAATTGAGAGGGCATAATTGGAAGTGTAACGGAACATTAGATACTCACCTTACTTATAACTTAAGTTCATAGATAATTTCATATTAAGATTGATTTGGTAGGTTTTTGAGAGAACTTTATAATACTCGCATAATTGGCCCTTTGTAACCGCAGAAGCGATTGGTGATATACGGATTTTTAAAGACCTTTTATTTTATGTCAGAAATAGACTCTTAATGCCAGCCAAGTGGCGGCCGCAATTAAATAGTTTTTTCTTAATTTGGATGATAGTACGCACTGCTAACTACTTGGCTATTATGTCCACTGTAGTCCTCATCAAAAGTAGCATACCTACTAAGTTTTGTTTATTCCACTGATTATTGCCTTAAATATTCTCTCTTGAGTCAAAAGAGGTTGAAGAGTAAAGAGCCCGTTGTATCATTATAATAAGGTCTGTTATGGTATGAATAGAGTGTCATTCGATAAAGCTGTTTATATCAAATGTTTGGTGTCGTTGATAATAAGTCGTAATTACTAAATTCTATAATTTCTCCTTATTAACGGTGCCTAATGGAAAAAATGCTCAAAAAATGGGCATTGCCTATTTTTTACTCTAATTTATATATCATGGAAGACATTATCGTCCAAAAAATTTTATACTATATACATTTCTACATTTACTCTTCCAGTATCTGATATTCTACAGTTGGAAAAAAGGTATTTTACATATTATTAAACATTTTCCAACTGATTCGAAATACTTTCTTAGTACACATACCAAATATCCCAAATTTCAAACCATCTTTACCGTGTGAAAACATTTGTTTGGTAACTTCAATTTAGCAATTTTTGTCAATTAAGAAGAGCATTTTCCCTTTGTTTTATTTTTCAGTAAAACTTACCGATTTCCTTCTTCATTTGTTTGATTTTTATGTCAATAAGACGGAGAAAAAGATGACCCAGCAAAATGTATACCTATTGTCCGTCTGTCTGCCTTTGTGTAGAGTTTGACGTAAGCTGATTCCTTAGTTTTGAAGATATTTCAAACAAATTTGGATAGCATTATCGGACCACTATAACATGTACTCATTTAACTGATTTTTATAATTTTTAGATTTTGGGTAATAAATCCGTCTAAAAGCGTATAAAGTCGTGAAATCCGAATTGGAATTCTTTAGAACTCTCATTGCAATCGGATAGCTCAATCAGGGTCAAGTAAGTGAATTTGAATTTTTTAACCTTTTAATTCAAAAGTTACTATGAAAATTCAAATGTATTTCCCAAACAATTTACATTTAAAAAGTTTAAATTTAGCAAATTTTTATCTGAAGAGGTAAGTTCAAGTTGAAATATTTACATATAATGTAGGATTCTGCAGATAAATTTATCACTATTTGCTTTACAAATGCCCCTAGCTGATGGCTCTGTAGTCTCTAAGTTGTGATCAAAACAAAATTGTGATGTATTAAACAAGTGAATTTCTTTATAGGAAACGCTTATATTTACTATACTAAAGAGAGGCCGAAAAATATATTACAAAGGTAATACTAGGTTAGAAATGTACCCATTCGGCCTGGCAGACACGAATTATTATAACACGAAAAAAAAAACAACTCGAGATTGCCCAACCTTGAGTGTTCATACTTCTGAAATACGTTGCTAGATTTTATAAGCGATAAAGCTAATCTGATGGCCCAAATATTTGTAAAATAGATAATATTAGCAAAATATGCCCTACCCGCTACTTTAATTTTTGCTCTAATGTGCGTGATTCGAGCACTTTTACCCCATCGTACGAAGCTAAAATCCCACAGCCAGGAATATAATCAATTGAAACAGATGAATTGAAATGAAGAAAACCCACAGTTTCGATTTCTTTTCCGTAAATTATCGGCTAATCTCTGCACTGGTTTCCACTAATATTATTGATCGTTTAACCAAGCTTAAAATAAACTACATATTTGTATATGAACAATCAATAAATATTTTGTGCAAAAAGGCGAGAAAATGCCACAACATCATTATAAACAGCAACGGAAAAAGGTCTGAGCGAACACTGAATAGCAGCAGCCACAGAAAAGAGGGAAAGGTCAAAAAAAGCTTGCGCCTGATTGCACACAAGGATGTGATTGAGTTGTCGCTGCTATTTATAAATCACAAGCGAGATATGTGTATACATATGTGTTTTTTATTGCAATCCTTTTCCACATCTCAACATTCCCAAAAAATTTAAGATCCTATTTAGTGTAAATTTTTGTGGTTTCCTATATATTGGAGTTTCCATATTTTTTACTTTACTCGATCATATGATGTCATAAATCAAAATTCAATTATCTGATTTTGACAATGCACATGACATAACACACACATTGAAGAAAGGAAATATAACATGAATTCAACTTCATAAATATTTGAGCATGTGTATGTTCAACATTTAACACAAAGCCGCTTGATTTCCACATTTAACGTTAAAGGCAAAGTCTAAAGGTTAGTTATGCGCCTGGAAGTATGCTTTTGTATTCGTTTGGGGCACATGGCACGCTACAACTAACGATAGGCACTTAAGAAAACTCGTTTATGTTGAATGGAAAAGTATACCTTTGCTGAAAATGTACGCTTTTACGCAGACGCGACAATAAATAAGAATAATAGTGCAATTGACGTTTGTATTATGGCCGGTTGCAGTATTGTGCCTTAGTGAGTATATAATTTACGAGATTATTAACTTATATAATTATGTATATATACATATATATGTATATAACATTAGATATTAATGTATATAAAATGCTTCGCCCTTTGTGCGTGCAGAAAGAAATATAAGACCACATTGCAATCTCAAAACTCTTAGTGTCAAGAAGATCATAAGAAGCTGCTACTATTAAGCATGAGTATTACGCCCTAAGAAGGTTGTTTATGAGACACAGAGTATATATGTATTGTATATACATACGTTTTCTCCATTATTATTTTTTTCTGTCTTTACTAGAGTTACGCTTGGTTAAATTTTTTTGTTCTTATTTACTTGTTGGATTGTTTTTTTAGAGCCTTCAAATTATATACACTGCACCACTTCGAATTCAAAATCTGTGCATACGTGTTTGAGTTGAGTTTGGTTTCCACTCTTGAATTGTCAAATACAAAATAGTTATTCAAATTATTCTGAGTGGAAGAAGTAAAATATATTTAGTGAAGGGCATATAGTGATCATATCTATACTTGAAGCTATTAATGTGAGTAATCCGTTTTTTTAGTGGACGTGACATTTATTTTTATGTAAAGTCCGAAAATATAAGAAACTGAAGTTGTAAAACACATTATTTAACATAAGATTATACAACTTAACTACATTTATTTAAAACACACAAATTTTTACTTTTATTAATTATGCAAAAATATTCGAAAATAAAAACTTAAATACAGCGATATACGAAAATTCTTTAAAGTACACACCAACCGCAGAAAACATAATAATAATACATAAATAAATTATAGTCAAGAATAAATCAGCTATTAAGAAATTTGAGGAAATTTCCCAGAGGCGGTGATTATATGTATGCGGTTTGTATAAATAAATGCAATTCATAAGTGTCATGGTAAATTGAGCATATTTTTTTTTTTAAATAACTGAGCTTGAAAGGACTGAAACTTATGATTGTATTGTTATTATATTTGAGGTATTGTGGACACTACTTATTTTAGATTACTTGTTTATTCGCGGATATAGTTTCATATAGCCAACTTAGCGGTTATGTGAACAGTGAGATCTTTAAAAACTTGTTTGTAATGTTATCAATATTATCATCATACATATATAATAGTAAGAAATAATAAAATATCAAAATATATTAAAATCACATTAATTAAATCAAATAAAAGTAAAATAAAATAATAATAATATATATTTGATGGTTTCGGCTACCCTTCTTTTAAACTAAAATTAAATATAGATAAACAAAATAAAATAAATTATATTAAATTGATTAAAATAAAATCAAATAATACAAAATCAATTAAAATGAAATAAAATAGAGTAAAATAAAATAAATCAAATACAATTTTCTTTTTCTTCTTCATTGGCGTTGTCAACTCTTACGCGACTACCAAATCAAATCAAATAAAATAAGCTAATACAAAATAAAATCAATTAGCATAAAATTAAATAAAGCAAAATAAAATAAAATAATATAAAATAAAATGATATAAAATCAGTTAATATAAAATAAAATAAATCAAAACAAATCTTCTTCATCTCTAGGTTGTGGCTTTGCGTCTTGATGTTTTTTCTAACAAATGTTCCCTCCTACAGTTTATACTCGGAGGTGTTCACATTCACTCGCAATTTGAAAATTTAACTTAATCTTTTGCTTGAATTAATTTTCCATAACTTTAGGATGTAGGTCACACCGGGATTTGTACCCGGTCCTTCCGAATGGCAGTACGCAGTGCTAACCACCATATGAAAAAAAAATAAAATAAATAACAATAAAATAAAAAGAATAATAAAAAATCAATTAGCACAAAATTAAATAAATTAAAATAAAAAAATTAAATTAAACAAAATAAAATAAAATAAATTAAAATGAAATGCAATAAAATATAATGAAATAGAATAAAATAAAATAAAATGAAGCAAAATAAAATAAAAGTATATAAGATCCAATAAAATAATTAAAATTAAAAAATAAATTAAAAAATTACACGGGAAAGAAAACAATATACGTTTAAGTAAAATAATATAAATTAAAAATATATATTTAATTATAT